AGATCAGCTTCAACCACCTGCCAAACCCAGAAAGCTCCTAAGTATCAGGACACCAGAACAGTATCATTCAGGTAAGAACTTTCCTGTTTTTTCTGTCTCTTCCCTTTCGTGAAACCAGGGGCAGTTGGACGAATGAAGGAAGAGGAGAAACTCCAAAAAGCAAATAGAGAAGATGCTCTCCTTTCTGGTCCCAAGAGGAAAAGAGAAGGAATTCCAATGTTCAGGGAAATATACCTTCTGGTTACTGAAATAAGATTGTTTAGAATAGGGATCCCTGGGTGGCGCAGTGGTTTGGCGCCTGCCTTTGGCCCAGGGGCACGATCCTGGAGACCCGGGATCGAATCCCACATCGGGCTCCCAGTGCATGGGGCCTGCTTCTCCCTCTGCCTGTGTCTCTGCCTCTCTCTCTCTCTCTCTCTCTCTCTGTGACTATCATAAATAAATAAATTAAAAATTTTAAAAAAAAAAGATTGTTTAGAATATTAGAATTGACTACAGAGCTTGTTGTCTAAGCATGATCCTCAAAGTTTAGCATATGCTATTAGAGATTCCATCCCAGTAGGAAGGGAAGAGCCAACTTCACAGAGGGGGTCTTAAGAGGCACCAATGGGAGGAATAGAGTTGCTTTCTAATTGAGAAGACTATTTATTCAACAAGAATACACAGATAGAAAAAGACAGAAAAAGAAGACTTCACCTATAAAACAGAGAGGGGGGTTCAAGTGAAGTTAAATTTCTGACACATAGAATTCCCTGGCCTGATATAATATGCAGGTATATAAGGCCTGCAGGCTCACACAGATAAACCACTGAATGCTCTGATTATCTAATTCTCCTGTGAACACCATCAGGGACTTTGGCTGGATATCAGGAAAAAAGGATCTGGAGAAGCGGATCTGGAGAAGGGCCAAGATCTGGTAAGTGGAGCAGGAGAGATCCAGTAAGCCAAGGGATGAAATGTCCAGGAAAGCACTGACAAAAATAACAACTCACATGTACAGCAAACATTTACTGGGGGCTCTTCATTCATGGAATCTCATTTAATCTTCACAGCAACATATGAGTACAGGAAGAGTGTCAGGTATAACCTATAGGCTTTGTACTTGGAAATGTGCCTGGCATGTTATAAGCACTCAATATAAGCTATATATTGTCCTAAGATGAGTGCTATTATTACATTTTATGGATGAGGGAATTGAGACTTAGAAAGTGAAGTCTTTTCTTTTCAAAATTACCAGGGGTCCTTTGGTAAGTAAAAACTGACGGTGGGATTTGAATTTAGGGATCTGACTCCAGGGTATTCACTCTGACACCCATTCTTCTCTCCTTTCAGCCTCTTTCCCTCTGAGACCCAGTAGCTCCAGAAACTGTTCTGTGTTCAACCTGGCAGTGCCTTGCTGCCAACCACACTGTCAACCAAACCCCGACCCAAAGGTGAGGGTGATAGCCAAGAGATTAATGTAACACTGCCATGAGTCTTGGCCTTTAAAGGAGGGTTTTGAAGACTGAAAAGATGAAAGTCTAATAGATGATATACTTTCATTCAGTGGGAATTTCTTGAGCAAGAAATAGGAAAGAAAGGAGAGAGAGGAAGAGGATAGCAGCTAGACAAGGGCCAGTAGAAATCACTACATCTTTTTTCTTTCTTTTTAAGATTTACTTATTAGAGAGAGAGCACGCGTGGCAGGGAGCGACAGAAAGTCTTATGCAGACTGCAACTGAGTGCGGAGCCCAACTCAAGGCTTGATCTCATGATGTTGAGATCACAACCTGAGCTGAAGCCAAGAATCAGATGCTTAACTGACTGCACCACCCAGGTTCCTCCAAATCACCACATCTTTTGACATCACTGCCACAATAACTGCCTTCTCCATAACCAGATTGCTAGCTTTGGTCCAGAGCTGAACAGCAGGTGAGGTGGAGTCTCTTGAAAGGAGTACAGAAATTGCTTCTCAACAGCTTTGAAGAGCTCATAAAAATGAAAAATATTGAGCAAAGAAAATGAATATTGAGGGGTAGGCTATACTGAGACAATGGGCCTAATGCCAGCTATCCTGGTGGCAGGGAGTTAAATTGTGGCCCACTCTCCCCTTTTATTTGGGTTCCAATTGTGTATGACATCCTTTCTCCTTTGTAAATACCAAATAAACCCTATAAAGGGGTTCCCCATCATCCCTGGTACATTTTCTCTTTCCTCCTCCAATCCTCTTTCATCCTTATCCACTCAGCAAACACCTCTTGTCCTGAACTGAACTCAAGGTCTCAGTCTGCTCAGTGGCACAGGCCTGGAGCTGCATTTCCAGTAACTGTTCAAGATGTTCCACTATTACCACATTCAACATGCCCCGGACTCATCTTCTTCTAACAGAAATCTGTTCTCTTTCCCCAGCACCCATTAACAATAACACCTGGGAGTCATCTTTCATAATTTTCTTCTAAATTTCCCATTAACTTAATCCCACAAATATACTTCTCTGATAATACTTCTCTTCGGAACACTTTCACTACCACCACCACTGCCTTTCTTCAGACCTGGGGATGTTTATAATTTCTTTGAAACAGGCCTTTGCCCCATCGCCCAGGCCATCCCACACTTTGCTGTCAGAAAACTCTGTCAACACCTTAGACATCATCATTTCACAGTTTTAATCAAAAGTCACTCATGGCTGTCAGTGAATGACCACCAAGATGAACTTTCCGAGTTCAAGGTATTATGTATTCCACCCCATTTGTCTTTCCCACACCAACTTCCTACAACCACCCTAGACACACCGCTGGATCAACTACAGAGACCCACTGGCCAGGCCTTTGAAAAGGCAAGGAAAGAACTTTCTCAGGGGCAAATATTTCTACTCTAAGACAGGATCTGGGGTTAACCCAGTATGTCAGAACGAGTCAGGAGCACCAAACCCAAGGTTTATCTTGGCTATCAAGGGGTGGCCACTCCCTGATTAAAAAACACAATTAGTGAGTTATAGGCAGAAACACAGAAAAAGAGGTAAAACAATCCCTGGAGTTTGGCTAGGTTGTGCGGAGTAGTAAAAAGAGGTTTCAGAAACTGATATTAGAAAAATAAGGAGAAGAGAATCAAAATGGATGTGAGCAGTCCAGGAAGCTCTCCTAGAAAGGTGGAGAAGGGGCAAGTTCAAAGGAATTAAAATTTGGGGGGACAGAGACCATGTGTAAAAAGAGCTTTTCTGCTCCTAGCAAGAATGAACCTCCCTATGCTTAGAGTTCGATAGTCTTCATCGTGGTATGATTTCGCCAGCGTGAATTTTGAGTGACCCTGGGAGGGAACAGGACAGCAAAGGAGATGATTTAACACAGTGTATTCTCAAGAGCTTGAGTTGAACTAGGAGCTCTAGAGTCACACAACAATCGCTACCCGGTGATGCAGTGATGAGGTCACAAGTGGTGCTCCCCTTCCCCCCGCCCCCATCCCTGGCTTCCTCAGAGTTAGGCAGAGGAATCAGAGGGAAAATCCACCTTCTCACACACAGCAATACCATCCACCTCACTCGACTACTTGTCAAGTTCACTACCAACACAAAGGGGTGAGTTGCATTTGGACAACCACACATGCCCTGCCTTTTTCCTCTCCTTTCTTAAGAGTGACTTAAAGCACCTCAGGCATTGAACAGGGTTGAGATCATGGTTATTTTTCAATGAAAGCTTCCTTTCATTTTCAGTAGCAAGAACTGAGCTATGCCTTATTTCAAGGAGAGATTCTTTTTTTTTTTAATTTTTATTTATTTTATGATAGTCACACACAGAGAGAAAGAGGCAGAGACATAGGCAGAGGGAGAAGCAGGCTCCATGCACCGGGAGCCCGACGTGGGATTCGATCCGGGGTCTCCAGAATCACGCCCTGGGCCAAAGGCAGGCGCCAAACCGCTGCGCCACCCAGGGATCCCTCAAGGAGAGATTCTTAACAATTTTGGAGTTTAACTTAATGATCTATTTCTCCAGAGAGCCATATTGCTTTTAAAACCAAATGAGATAAAAGTTACCTTTTATATTGTTAATCAAAGGAGTGCCAGTTAGATACAACTTGCAAGTATTGTCATTGGCTAAAAAGCCCTGTGCATATCTAGAAATCAAACCATCCATAGAAGACCTAGCTCAGGGCAAAACTCAAAATAGAAAATAGGGAAAATAAAACCATATTTTATTATTAAATCCTTAAAATCATTTTATGGCTCTCACATTCATATTTTCAGAGGAATTAGAATTTCCCAGTTCATCTCCTCCTCTCCTAACTTCTTCCCTTCCTCTAATCATGGGGAGGAGGAGTCACAGAATGGTCCATGGGAGTCCAATCATGGTAGAGATGGTAGAGATTCAATTATCTTCCCATCCCCAGTTTCCAAGGGAAGAAAGCAATTATCAAGAAAACAATGCTTTGAAAGCTTGGGCAAGGCACAGAAATGAAAGAAGTGTCCTGAGTCCCTGAGTTCCTAAACCCACTCATATACCCTCTCATTCCATCTCCAGAGGGTTGGGGAGGTGGCCCTGCAGGAGTTGTTTAAAACCCTTGTTATGCCATGGATGCCTTTAGCTGTCTGACCAAATTCATGACTTCAGAATAATGTATTTAAATGAAATAATTAAAAGACATGGACTTACAAATGATATCAATCATATTGGTAGCATATGATTAAATATGGTTTTATCATTGGGAAGGGATAGTAGTTCCAGGACCCTAAGTTGAGAACTCCTGCTGGGAGATACGGAATGGAGACAAGGGTAAGTGAACAAAAAGCAGGGTAAGAGTGAAGAGACCAAGGAATGTTGTCATCAATCCACTCCATGGACAAGAGGACAGCCCTTAAATGGGAATTTGGTATAGAGCCCCAACCATTCCAGGAAAATTTTTTGTAGAAGCAAGGATGGACAGGAAGTGTGAGTGAGAAGGCTTGCTGGTCCTCTTCCACCTTGCAGTGGTCTCCCACATACTACCTGTTGCATATTTCTTTGCAGGGCATAGAAAATCAAAAAAGAATGTCGAGTGATGATAACAATAAATCTAGTGAACCCAAGAATGAGCCCAAGAATTGTGATCCCAGATGTGAACAAAAATGTGAAGCCAAATGCCAGCCCAGCTGTTTAAAGAAGCTGCTGCAAAGGTGCTCTGAAAAGTACCCACGAGAAAAGTGCCCGGCACCACCAAAGTGCCCACCGTGCCCCCCACCATGCCCTTCTCCATGCCCGACTTCCTGCCCCCCCAAGCCCTGTGCCAAGCCCTGTCCTCCTAAATGCCCATCTCCCTGCCCACCCCCAGAGTGAGGTACCAAGGGTACCACTCAACCCACTACCTCCAACATCTCTACCATGTTCACCATCTTGGTGTTGAAAGCTGAAGCCATGAACTGACAAGTAAATATGTTCCTCTGCTGTGCAAGGCTTTCTTCTCCTGTTTTTGTTTTTGTTTTTGTTAGTTTGGGGTTTGTTGGTTGTTTTCCAGCACTAAAACACCAACAAGCAATCCCTAGAGAGTAAGGCTAGAACCCTGGCACTCTAAAGTCAACAACTTTTGAAGATAGCCTACCTTCTGGCTCCACCTGCTGCATAAAAGGATGCGGCATCTCCTGAGGGGTGCACCTAGGGAATGCAGACTGGCAGAGCCATAAATATGGCTGTTAACAGTGGTTCACCTCAGGAGCTCAAGTGGCCATGATGCAGAAAGAAGATGTAAGGGGGAAAGAAGAGTGGGATGTTGAGGAAAGGTCCAGTCCAGAAAGGCTGAGGAAAAATTCTACCCTCAGCTATTAATCCCACTGCATAATGCTTGGGCAGAACACTCTGAAAACAGGCTGTGTGGGCTTAAACTCTAACTCTGCTATTTCCTTCTCTCTATAAAAGGAATGCTGATGCTAGCAGTGGGCTTACAGAGTTGTCATGAGGCTTAGGAAGTAAAGTGTGTCCAGTGCCCAATTTACTGGGACATAACCAGCACTCAGAAAGGGGAACACATGGTACCTATCCAGGTGTCACATGTCACACCTGAACATAACTGCTCTGTGCCTTTCTTCACCATCAGGCTATAAGTCTCCTGAGTACAATATTTAGGTTCTAACTTATACCTATAAGCACAGCTAGGCACTCATCTAAAAAATAAAAAGCGGTGCCTGGGTGGTTCAGTTGGGTGAGTGTCCAACTCGTGGTTTCGGCTTCATCATTGCAGCAGCATGAGATTAAGCCCATCATCGGCACTCAGAGGGGAGTCTGCTTGAGAGTTTCTCCCTCTCCCTCTGCCCCTCCCCCACTCACATTCATTCTCTCTGTAAAAAAATAAATCTTTAAACAAATAAATAATAAAAAACAAAATTGGAGTTGTGGATTACACAATGTCAACTGGCTGGTTTGGATACTTCGAACCATACTTAGGTAATGTCTCCATGGAGAGAATTCTAGTGAAAGGTACACGGGAGTGTCAACATTCTAGTAATTTTAGTACAATGGAGTTATGTGTAACCAATGGAGTATTTTTATTTTCACTAGTCTTTGGATTTTCATTAAGTTTTTATTTCCCATGTAATAGAAAAAAATTACATAATCATGAATATTTCAGAAACCCACCAAAGTCCTTTCATTTGCTTAATGAACTAAATAAATAAAAAAATAAATAAATAATGGAAAAACATCTTCCTACATCTGTGTACATAACTTGGATGCCTTCCTTTGAGAGATTGGGTCTCAGTTCCAGGCCCCCAGTGGCTCTATGGCAGTGTGGTTCAGGTGTTGGTGCTCTCCTGGGTGGTTCTGAGGACTCTGGGGACAGACTGGGTGGAGGCCATCTCTGAGTACATGAAACCACCCATTTGCCAATTTAGTTCTTTTTCTCTCATGTAAATGAAACCAAAGATACACATCTCTTAATGGCTACTTTCCCAACAAAGCTTGGATCAAAGGCAATGCCAGGGAAGATGGCTACAACGTGATGAGTGTGCTGCCTCCCTGCAGAATGCCATAATTACTCCCAGCCCCAGCGACAGTCACCAAGGCCCTGCCCCAAATGGTAAGGGGTTGTTTAAGTAAATTAGCAACACCTGAAGAATGGCACCATGAGAACCTGTGTGGTGTCAGTCTTGATGGCTCACAGATACTGTGATAGGGCAGGACCAAGCCTCTCCCTTCATGGAAAAGCTGTAAGAAGAGACTCTACCACAGACCCCCATGCATCATTGTTTCTTGAGAAGCAGGCAGTGCACTGCTGACCTTGCAAAAGGACTTTTAAGTCCTCCCAGACCAGGCCAGCTAAGGGCGTTGCTGTGAGCTGGGCCAGTGCTATATGAAAGGGCTGGCACACAATCACAGGAATGTCTTGCTTTGAAGCTCTGAAGCTGGAAGGCACCCTAGAGCTCACTTTCATTCATCTCCTACATGCAAATGGCAGCTGGGGAGATGGCAGTAAGGAACCAGTTACAAACTTGTCTTATTTTCCTGTCTTGCTTCCACATGACCAAATATTCCAGCCAGGAACATAAGCACAGACACATCCTGGGAGGCTTTATTGATGATAAGTTATAACTGCTTCTGTGCCCCAGCTGTTTATGCTCTGCAAAGAAATCAGTGGGTTAATATATTAAGTCAATTGCCAAACACATAAAGATGCTAAAATACAAATTGATCGTAAAATCCATAGCAGGTTATTTTCAGGTGCACTGGCTGCATAAAACCTGTGATGCCTTACCTACAGAGTTCTGAGCTCTCTCCTAGGCTTGAAGGAAATGATGCTCAGACTGCGGTTCATGCTTTTCCCACCAGGAAAATCCCCATAGTTTCTCATCTATACCATCCAGAACCTCCTAACTGGATTCTGAGATTCCAAGTTCACCTTCTAGTCCTTCCTCCAGTGTAAGACAGAGAAGGCAGGCTGGCTAAAATCCAAATCTAAATATGTCACTCCCCTGCTTAAAACCCTTAAAAGGTTCCTTTTTGCCTAAAGAACAGCTTGAATGACTTGACCAGTCACGCATAAGTCTTCCAGAGCTGGCCCCCAGCTCCTTGTCTGGCTTTACCTTGCCACTTCTCTCTCCTAGAACTGTGCAGCCCAGCATCAGGTAACTGCTGGCCCTTTGGCACAGCAGAGAGTTTCTGGCCTGTGTGACTTTACACTTGTCTATTCTCTATCATTCTTCCTCTTCCCACTGAGTCCTCCTCTGAATAATCCACTTGAGCGGGTCTTCATCTCCCTCTGAACCCAACTCAGGGGTCACCTACTCTAGGAAGCTTCCCCCTCTGCCCCCTGAAGGCTGGTCAGATGCCCCTTACTATGGTCTCAGAGAATCCATGCCTTTCTCCTATAACACTTACCTCACCATATTCTGTCCATCTGTTTACACTGGGTTGTAAGTTCTTTGAGAACAGACACTGCCTGGCACACATAGCAGATATTCAATAGCAATAAATGAGTGCACATTCAGTGGCTTTGGATGCACTTTTCCAAAGAGGAAAGGACTGCTCTGGGCTGAGGCCCTGGCTACTGTGTTATATGCCCTTGCCACATGGGTCATTCCCAGAATTCAGGGATAAGAGAGGGGGACAGGGCTGAATATGGGTGGCCTCAGGCTGAGAAAAAAACATCCTTGGCATTGGCCACTTTTCCCTTTGATCACAAGGTACAGATCCTGCCAGCCCTACCCTCCAGCCTCACCTGGGAAGTGCAGCCTGCCTCCCAGCAGATTTCTTACTTTGGAAGGCAGCATGGTAAAGGGAAATGTCTTGTCATCACAAAGACATGGATTCAAAGTGAGCTGTACACTCTCAATTGTGAGGCCCGGGCAAATTGTGTCACCTCAATGGGAGAAGTGGTCTCAGTTTCTTCCCTTGAAGAATGAGAAGAAATGTCTCATTAAGGTGTGGAGATGACTGACCAGTGAGATGGTATATGCAAAGCCCCCAGCATGGGAAACTGAACTTAGAAAGCCAGGACACAAAAGCACTCAAGAACTGGTTAGCACTTGGAGTCCTCACCCCTATCTATGATGGCACATGTCTTGTTCTTCTGTTCTGCTGTGGAGTGCAGTGGGCTTGAGGAGGAAAGAGAGAGTTAAAGAAAGGAAGGCAAATATCTTTGAAGGAAGTAGATTTACAAGGCCAAACCTCCCATCCTGTTCCCAAAGTGGGCCCCAGAACCCACAAATCACAGTAGGAGCCAGATGAGGACTTTTGCATCACTGAGTATAAGTGCTAGATGTGGCACAAAATGTGCCCAGTGTCTCAGTTGTCTGGGAGAGGAAACTCAGCTCCAGAGAAGGAAACATCTTAAACAAGATCACATTGAGTTGGTTGCTAGAAGAGTCTAGGATTTCTAAGCCCAACTTAAGCCATGATGAGTCAAAGGGAAAAGGACTGAAGACTAGTATGAACCTAAACAATTTTGGAACATACTTCTCCCCATTTCCTGTGTCTGTGGTCTTTAACCTGGAGGCCACGAACCTCCTGAAGGTAAAGATGTGTACCTATGTATAAATTTCCTCGTCACCTCAATACTATTAAGAACCATTGGCGGGATCCCTGGGTGGCGCAGCGGTTTGGCGCCTGCCTTTGGCCCTGGGCGCGATCCTGGAGACCCAGGATCGAGTCCCACGTCGGGCTCCCGGTGCATGGAGCCTGCTTCTCCCTCTGCCTGTGTCTCTGCCTCTCTGTCTCTCTCTGTATGACTATCATAAATAAATTTAAAAAAAAGAACCATTGGCTAATCTGCATCTTTGTTGCCTTCCTGAAGTTTATAAAGAGTCCCAAGTGCAGTGATGTCCTAAATGTTTTTAAATGGGCCATTGCCTGGTACAGGCATGAGCTAACCACATGATCTTAAAGTAGGCACTCAATACTTTTGTACCTCAATTGCCTCATCTTAAGAAGAATGCAGTTGATAAATAATGTAGTGCCTCTTATTTAAGCATGTGTTGAACTGAAACGAGGAAAGGGAATCAGGTGACCTGTCATGTCCCCTCTGGGAGCAGTGACCTGTGACCCACAACCCCTCCCACAACCTCTGATTCAGACTCTCCGTGCAGGGAACACTGGAGGCAGGGAAGGGTGGTGGACTCTCCCTAAGGAGCCCACAAGCTCTCCAGAGTCACCTGCTCCCAGGGAACAGGGTGAGCTACATTCTGCACCATTTGGCTTTATCAGAGCCACTGCCCTGTAATATGCAGACTGGCCAGCCAAATGAATCAGAAGAGTCTGGGAACTTTTATGATCTGAACAAAGGAGATCGTTATTTGAATGAGGATGGTAGGGGGTGGGGAGGCATGTCCTGAACACACCTGACTCTCTTCTGCTGACCCTGTATAATCACACCCTGACTCCCAATAATGACAGCTGCAGAAATTTAAAATCTTAAATCTTAGATGGCATTCAATCAGATTAGCCCCAGTCTCACTGGATAGCTGGGGATGGTTAAAGTATTTAAGCTCCTTATCTTAAGATGTAGGGTGAGACAATCTCCCCAAAGCTGTCCAGGTCACAACTCCAGATACTGGGCCACTAAGTTTGGTTTTTGAGGACCTGGACCCCAAATACTCCCACTCTGAATCTAGGAAAAGATATGCCACTTATGGTTATTCAGTCACTTGACTGGGCCACTGCCAGTCACAGAAGACAGAAGACTAGGTGGATTATAAATCATAATCTAATCAAGGAAGAGCCTCCTAGCCTCCTACCCGCCCCCCCACCACACAGTCATGTATCCACATACTTACCAAGTCATATAGATGTCAAAGCTAACCATTCATGAATATCACAGTCTATCAAAGCTGCAATGGACCTAGCTTGACTCCTAGGCTACCTTTAGTATTTTAAAGATGATGAAAATGAGGCCAGAAAGCCTTAGGGGCTTGCCTGAGGTCACACATCTTGTTAGGGACAGAGCCGGGTCTCTGGGCCTCTGCACAGTACACTGTCTACTACATCCCAGTGAGTAGAAAAGTATAAGAAAAGATGGAGTCCTGGGGGGGACAGATAAAGGAGATGGAATAAGAACTGAGAGAATTGGAAAGGCTTCATGAGGGAGCTGAATCCTGATCAGTCAGATGGCACTAACATTCTGTAAGTAGCTTGATAGCCCTAAGTGTGCATATGTTCTCAAATATATTCCTCATAAGGAATCTGTGAAGCACTGTTATCCCTTCCCAACAAGAAGAAATCTAGGCTCTGAGAAATACCTTATACAGGATACGCATACTCTTTGTAATTGAGTCAAGTCCAGGTCAGTGGGGGTCCTGAGCCCAGTTCTTTTCTCATGCATCACTAAGTGCTGGTCTTTGACTGAGGAGTTGACATAACCAATGAGTAAATATTTAAATGAGGGAGTGCTAAGTGGAATTTTATGTCACCATTTGAGACTTCCCAAGAGCTTCAGACATTGGGAAAGGTGTATTAAATTTCTATTGATGCTGTAACCATAACTTTCGTGGCTTAAAATGACAGAAGTATATTATCTTAGAGTTCTGGAAGTCAGAAATCTGACACAGGTCTCTCTGGGCTAAAATCAAAATGCCAACAGGGCTATATCTCCTTCTGGAGGCTTTAGGGCAGAATCTGTTCACTTGCCATTCCCAGCTTCTGAAGTTTGTCCACACTTCTGGCAAAGTCCATCTTCAAGTTTGTCCATCTTCAAAGGCAAATATGGTCAGTCAAACTTTTCTCACATTACATCACTGTGACACTGATTCTTCTGCCCCTTTTTCCACATTAAAGGACTCTTGTGATTACATTGAACCCACTTCATTGTTATCAGCTTACTGTGAGGCAGAGAGTCCTTTGAGAGAAGTTGAACTGTGGCCTCTTCCTAACTGCATTCACCCTCCTCCATGAGAACATGACCTGCTTTCTCCATTGTTCAGCAAATCCGTATTTGGTCTCCTCCTGAGGCTCAAAGACACAGAAATTCATGCATCACAAGCAAGGACAGCTGATGCATCCTGTTGTAGAAAACTTCAGGAAATCTCAACCAAGCAGCCTCCCTTCCCCAGTCTCTCACCCACCACTTTTTTTTTAAGATTGTTTATTTATTGATGATAGATCTAGAGAGATAAAGAGAGAGGCAGAGACACAGGAGGAGGGAGAAGCAGGCTCCATGCTGGGAGCCTGACATGGGACTCCATCCCGATCCTGAGACTCCAGGATCGCGCCCTGGGCCAAAGGCAGGCACCAAACTGCTGAGCCACCCAGGGATCCCCTCACCCACCACTTTCTTGAACCAGCCTCAGGCTCTCCTTTCATCAGGGTTCTAACAGCATTCCTTCTTCCAGGCCTATAACACCCTTGCCTCCCTCCTTGCCTGGTAATTCCTACTGTACAGCAAAACACAGCACATTCATCCCCGAGCAGCCCTCTAGGACCTTCCATCCATCCAGGATTGAAAAAGCGGTCTTCTTTTGGGGCTTGGACGCTTACCTCTGCCAATCTTCTCCATGAGATTGTGGACTCCTTGAAAGCAGGGTATTGAATGACTGAAAGAATGAATGAATAAATCTAGTGATGGAGAATTTCTTGTCTGCTAGGACTCCACAGTGTTGCCTGTGAGAAATGGAAAGAGAAAAAAAAGAAAAGAAGGGAAAAGAGGAGAGCCCCCCAATCCTACACTTAATCACCCAGTTTCCAGGTTCTCTAAATTACCTTACCCCTTCAGATATACCCATGAGTCTTCCAAGTCTCTCTCCTCATCCTACCTAGCCCCACTTCCACCCAGCCCCAGAAGATCTTCTCCCTCACAAGAACAGCAGCATGACTCCCCCACCCCTGGCACTTACCTCTTACAGGACACCAATGGTGTCCACGCTGGTGCTACCTAAATCCTCCGTGCACCAGTCCTAAAGATCAAAATGTTACCTGGTCTGTCCCCAACTCACCTTTTAAAAACTATTTGGGGGATAAAGACTCCAAAAACTGTATAAGCCTTTAAAGGAACATATGATTTTAGCCAAATACTTTTCTTAGGAAATGTCCTCCACTTCTTCAAGTTAAGGTGTCCACCATCATGTTTAAAGTCCCTGGGGTTTGACCAACTTTAGTAAACAAGCACAAGCCCACCACTAAGTGGCCTAGGGGCTTCTTTCATAACAAATACTTTCCCATCCTCCAATACATGAGAACCTTCTCCACTCTCAATCGTCTCCTACATTCACCTTCTTTATTCCTTAATTAATGCATTCACTCTATTAATGGTCATTTATCTTCCACCTACTAGACCCCTAGCCTCTAGAAACCTACAACCCAGGTAGTAATAAGATCTTGTACATAAGTAACTGGAATTCCTAATAACTACAGTAAATATCACATAAAAATGCACCAACAATAGGCATTATGGGAGTTCAGAAGGAGGTGAATTCATTTCTGGCTCTTGGAAGGTAGACTTGAGTAGAGCCTTGCAGAGGGCTTAGGGGTTCACAAGTCACAGAGAGAGGGGGCACACAAGACAGAACTGGGAGCCACACAGAGGCTTGGAAGCAGGGAAAACTGGCTGTTTTTGCTTTGAAACTTTTCCTTTCATCCCCCTGGCTTTTATTGACCTAAGTTGTAGGAAAAGTTTTTCCAGAAAGCAAGGAGGCAGACCAATATTGTTCCATCCTGTTTTCTTGGTCACTGTGAAAATTCTGTGAGTAACTCCATTTTTAGAAATGTCATAAATCAAAGTTAAGAAAATGAAGGTTATCGGCCTTCTCCCTCTCTTTTCCTCCACCGTACTTCACAATCTGAGTAACAAATGGAAAAAAAAAAAAACAGTAACAAATGACTCCAATTTCCCCGAAGACTTCTGTGCAGGAAAATCACTATCTTCAGGAGACTGTAGATCCTTTGTATGTTTGGGACCATAGGACAATCCATCTTCCTTGGGTCTGGGTCTGGAAGTGTGATTTTCAGGCTCAAAGAAGAGACATCCAGTGGAAATATCTGAAATCGGCCGTACATGGCCTTGACCCAGACAGACCCCAAGGCCTTAGGCCTTCCCGTGGATAAAGACAAGATGAGTAAGATGGATCTTATCTCTTGCCACATCCTGAACCAGTTTGGGCAGACAAGGAACCCCATGCCAGTTTAACAGACTAAGATAACGTTTTATGAACATTCTTTTGCTGCTACCTCTAATGAGAGAGATCTGAAAGGAGCCCCTCCCTGCTGAGGTCTGGTAAGGACCCAGCAGCCCAAATGGAGACTGATTAACAGGCATCCCAAGCAGTGACTCAAACCATGGGCAATTTCAGAGGAAGCTCGTTATGGTGACTCCACAATTAGGACATCAGCCCACGTGGCCAGTCAGTACTGCAGGAGGCAGGACCAGGCACTATATAAAAGTTCCTATTCTGCTGAGCCCTGCAATCCACATCCTTTGTTGAGTCTTGCTGAAGACAGGTAAGTGGGGACATCTGTGCCCTATCTCCCTCCCACTTGCTGCTCTGCCTTCAAGAGGCTCCTCTCTTCCTCCACTGCACTGTACTTCCCACTGATTTTCAGTGCTTTGCCATTTCTTGGGCCTCTCACACCATCCTGTGTATCTGTCTAGTCTCTTGTACCTGGTTTTCAAAAAGATTAGTCAAATAGAGGAAAAGGGAAGATCTGTGGTGGAACTAGGTGTCAGGTAGGATTGGGCTATGAGTGTCTAGACAAGAGCTATGAGAATATTCCCACCTAGGATATGGTTGTCAGAGGGAGCTGAAATAGGGATAGAAAAGAGAAAAGGATAAAAAAATAAAAAATTGCAAACAAGTTCTTAGGGTTAATAATCATTCACTCCCCATTTCCCTCTACCAACCCATCTACAAATCCCATCTCCCATCTCCCAGTAATAGTTCCCAACCTAGTACTATTACTAAAGTTAATTTCAAATCTTGTGTTTGTTTCAGGTCCTGCTATCCACCCTAGGATGTCATTTAATGAACAACAGTGCAAGCAGCCATGTGTGCCTCCTCCATGTCTTCAAAAGACCCAAGAGCAATGCCAGGCAAAGGCTGAGGAGGTATGCCTCCCTTCATGCCAGGATCCCTGCCAAGAGAAGTGCCCAGTGCAAGTTCAGGAGGTGTGTCTTCCTCAGTGCCAGGAGTTAAACCAAGAGAGCTGCCCACAGCAAGTCCAAGACCAATTCCCACCTCAGTGTATAGAGCCATACCAGGAGCTATCTCAGACAAAATGTGTGGAAGTTTGTCCACAGAAAGTTCAAGAAAAGTGCTTATCCCTCAACAAGGGAAAGTAGGGTCTCATAATGCCATCTTGAGTCAAGAAGATGCCCAACAGATGAAAACCAAATCCAAGCCCATGCAATGGTAGCCTCCACCTGTGGTTACCTCTCTGTGCACTTTCTTCTTGCTGCCTGGCTTCTTCAGTATTCCAGGACTGGGTCTGTTGTCTCTGAAGACATTTTTTCTCTGCATTTCATCAATCTCTGTGAATAAGTATTGTTTTCAGCAGTCTAGTGGAAAGTAGAAACTGTAGGAAGAGTGCTGTTGTAAGGGAAGACCATAGAAACATCATTCAGCTTCCATGGGGCATGAACTCACCCAGCCCTGAGTGTGTAACAGCCAAGAATCATGCTTCCATACATCATTCAGAGCATCAGCCTCTACTCGAGCCTCAAAACAAGTTGACTTTTGATGGACTTTGCACTGATTACCACCACCACCACCATGAATACTGAGAAGAGGTTGGTGGTGTTATAGAAATAAAAACTTGGGTCACTTTGTCTATGCATCCTAAAAAGGAAATGCAAATGATTGGACATTGGAATGTTAGTTGTGCTTTTAAAAATGAAACAAAAGCATATAATGATTTAATCCAAACAGCCAATAAGGACAGATGAGATGGGGTGTCTGGGGTCCTGATTGATCTTGTGCTTGATGGCTGGTTTGCTTTGGGCCCTATAATTTCATATTACATGCTTTAGAGATGTGATTTGTGTCTGTGTGGTGCAATCTGGGCTGTTCTCCAGCTTCATTGTTTTCTTCCCCCTGGTGAAGGTAAAATATTAAATAAAACTGATCCCAAGGCTGAAGTCTGGCTTGATTTGTGTTCTTTCTTCCTCCTCACTGCCCAACCACAGTCCCTCCCTGTGATGATCATGTTCCCCTTTTTTTGGACAATCTGGAGTAGGAATGAAAAACAGAGCTCTCAGGTGCAGATAAAACAACAATGTTGACAGAGGCCTCGTAGAAGTTCACGTGGATTGTTCCACTCTCACTCATAATGCATCATGAGCTCACTTATGCACACATTTCCCACCTAGGAGAATCCATCAGAGCCTGGGACATGCCTACACTCAGAATTTCACATCCAGAATTCTTGCCACTATGACTTTTTCCTCTCTGATCCTTGCTTTTGGGAGAAAGGACTCAAATGGGGAGGAGGAGTATTATATGAAAGAAGGAGTCCCCAGTGAATCTATGATATCTTTCAAGCATAGCATCACTGTCAGAAGGAAGAACTAAGCATAATTCTGAGATGACCAAGGACCAAAATAGGCCTGCCATCTCAGATTTCAGGAAAGCCCGTCAGCCCAGGTCACCTCCCTGTAGCATAACACCCACTTCCTCTCACTGAAAGGATCCAGTAGAAGCAAGACTTACTTACATGAAAGACCTCATAGCTGCTTCCTCAGTGGTGCCTTGAGGTCTGATCTGGACTCTTAAGTCATAGAACCAGTCTCCTAATCTGAAGAGGCCCATCACACCCCTGGGCCACCCCCCCTTCCGAGTCAGCCCATATGAGTAGACCCAGTGGAGAGCTACTTGGCTGACTTGAGGGCCTTGCAGCACTGGACTCACCTCAATCCCTTAATCTTAGAGATTTTCTAAGGCAAGAGAGGAGGATGCAGGGGGAAACTTGGGGGAAGATTTCTTTTTTTTTTATTTATTATTTATGATAGTCACACACAGAGAGAGAGAGAGAGGAGAGAGAGAGGCAGAGACACAGGCAGAGGGAGAAGCAGACTCCAAAAAATTAAAAAAAAATTTAAAAAAAAAAGGGATCCCTGGGTGGCGCAGCGGTTTGGCGCCTGCCTTTGGCCCAGGGCGCGATCCTGGAGACCCGGGATCGAATCCCACGTCGGGCTCCTGGTGCATGGAGCCTGCTTCTCCCTCTGCCTGTGTCTCTGCCTCTCTCTCTCTCTCTGTGACTATCATAAATAAATAAAAATTTTAAAAAAAATTAAAAAAAAAAAAAAAGAAGCGGACTCCATGCACCGGGAGCCCGATGTGGGATTCGATCCCGGGTCTCCAGGATCGCGCCCTGGGCCAAAGGCAGGCGCCAAACCGCTGCGCCACCCAGGGATCCCAGGGGGAAGATTTCAAGCAGTGACATGAAGCCCTGAGGACTCATTGACTTTGCAGATGGCAAACACAGGTCCTGAGCTCTATGCACATTTTCTGAGGGAATCCTGGCAGCAGCTCGAGGGGTTCATGCATTGCCCCTTTATCTTTATTAGGGAACTGGTCTGGCCTCACAAAGCAAGTAAGTGGTGAAGTCAAGATTCCAACTGGAGTCCCTCCTGATTCCAGAATAGAGCTTTTACTCGTATGAAGAAGTGCCTATGGCACACAGAAAGATTTCCAGAACTGACTTCACATTCATTTATTCATCCACCTACTGAGTGCCAGGGGCTAGAAAGACAGTGGTGAACAGGCAGGCAGCATCCCTGAGCTGAACTAGAAAGCTGCTTTCTATAGGCCATGCCTGCCTAGGGGGCCTCACTAAAACCTGGACATCCCAAGTACTGAACGTCTCCAGGTGCTTGAATTGCAGTTCTTTTCCCTCCCTGCATGGTTGGAATAAATTCTCTCTTCTATTTTCTGGCTTTGGAATAAGCCACAACTTACAATAGGCCCAGAGAACCCTCCTAGCAGTAGAGCTTCTAACTGGGCTGGGGGGAGGTTCATGACACTTCTCCAGCCTGGCTCAAGCCCAAGAAATGTCTTTGTTCTCCAGCGCTAAAAGCATACACAGATTGAAGTCCAAGATAGGGCACTCAGACGCTGAGCAGAAGTGCATGCTAACAAGCAGAGAGAGTCCATCAACATCAGAGAAAGAACTGCCTGCTGATTACAGGGGAGGCCTCAGTAGATGGCAAGGAGACACACCTACAGATTGTAGATGAAGGAACAGACATCAAGGAGCCAGAAGACCTTCATCACACTCTGCCATGAGAACGGCCATACCTTCCTCATGCTCACAGAGCTCTGACCTAGGCCCTGCCCACACTGCTGCTACAGGGTCAGGGCCCTAATGACATGGGTCTGGAACATGGGACGGTTAGGATGTAGGTGTTTGTGCTGAAACCTTTCAGAAAGAGGGAGAGAGACATTAACAAGGGGAGTCTGGATTTAGAAGTTCTAGTTGACAGTCCCTAAGGAAAAGACAAAACTGGAGCCCATAATTTGAATATGCTCCTAGATCAAACACCCATAGCTGCATAACTGAAATTTACAACTATCCTGATTCCCCCCAAATGTGAGCTCTGACCGTAAACGAACTTAAGCTTTCCTCATATCAGCATGACCTCACAGCTTCATGAGCCTATAGGCAACAAGCAAGTAAGTTTATGTAGCACTGTTCCCTAAAAAGAATGTAGGCATCTAGTAGTCAATCATTAATAGAGATCGATGTACTTATGCTTTATCAACTGAGCTGTAAGCCTCATTTTGTGAGCTTCTTGCTACTTTCATGTTGAAATCTTCCAGTTTTGTAAACTATTCTTTTGTCCTTTTCTCTTAACTTGATTTGATTTCAGTTTTGATACAGTTAATTCAGTATGTGACAAGAGTGGAACTATGGGCTCCATGTGTCCAGAGTAAAAGCATCAAGAAAACATCAGTAGATATTTACAGAGAACCCACTCTGCCCCAGGCTCTGGAGAACTGTTGGGATGGACCCATGTGATAGTAAAATGGCCTGAACACTTTCATATTAGAAACTGTTGAAATATATTTAGACTAGAAAATAAGATACCCAAGGGATCAGGATAGCTCTTCTCAATATTTTAAGTGCTTTAGTGGGGAAGGGATTGGATTTCTGCGAGGTTCTAAAGGACACAGTGGGGATCTATGGATAGAAGTTACTGATTTGGTTCAGTTTAAGAATTTTCTAAAAAAAAAAAAAGAATTTTCTTATGATGAGATTTGTTTGCTGGTGACAAGAGCTTCCCTTGGACATGCTACATTCCCATGAACTAGAAGAATGCAACTAGGGAGTGATAGCAAGTGTGAATACTAAACCTCCTCCCAACCTGTCTGGCACTAAGATTCAACTAGCTCATCTAGCTCTCTTGGGCAAAATGGGACCCAGGGGCAGGGGAACGTAACAGGACAGAGACTCAGAAGGCCAGACCCTGAGGTCAGAAGACAGAGAAAATTACTCTGGCCTCTAGGACACTGCTTGGAAGCCCTAGGGACCAGCACAGTGTGCTTCATGGCTTGAGACTAAGGAAAGGAGGAAGTTAAGTGATGGCAAGTGGCTCCCTCAAATTTAGGTATTTTCTTAGTATCTTTATGGGGCCCAAACACTTCATCCTTGAGTAGTACCTTATAATAATTCCTCACCAACTTCCAAATCCAACCTTCCCAGTCTAGGTTTAGAACATCTCTCTCCCCTTTATTCCTTGCTTCTTTGCCTTCTGGACCTCCTTTCTCTCCTGGGCCAGAGGTGGCCCATCTATTCCAGTGCATGTGTACCTGAGAACCCATCATAGCCTCCTTTCTACCTGCATCTGTCTCTCTCTCTCCCACCCAGGATTCTCCCTCTGCTTGTGTCTGTCAGCTCATGAGTTTCAAACTTACCTCCTCCTGGAAATCTTCCATGTCAAGGAGCCAGCAGGTGCATCTACACAAGTTTCGAGAGGTCTGTTTCCCCCTTGCAGCTACCCTGTGTGTAATTACCTGTATCTCCTGTCAGCATGAGAGCCCTAGATGGCAGCTGTGCCTTGCTGTGCTCTTTGCCTGTCTTCATGGGGCCAACTACCTTGAAGTCTTAGGAACTCCCAGAGTCAGTAAACCAGCATGCCCTCTGAGCAGAGACAAAAAAGGCTTCTTTTATTTATAGGGTGACAAACCATCCTGGTTTGCCTGGGACTAAGGGGGTGTCCAGCATGCAGGACTTTTGATTTTAAAATTGCACTGGTCCCAGGGAAACCAAGACAAGTTGGTTACCCTGTCTGTGTACCTGCATATATAGGACATGATGTTTGTTGCTATGGGAACGCAGAGGGAAAGCAGATGAGATGTCTATGCTGGAGGAATTTGCAGCCCAAGATTGAAATGGGGAGAACTTTCTGAAAAACTGTGTACCCAGAAGGCTTAGTGCCTACTGCCTGCTGTCCATCACAGCACCATTTTGCGTATGTATATGCGTGTGCATGTGTGTCTGTGTGTGTCTGTGTGTGTTGGGTGAGGGACACTAGATCAACTGACAGGTCCCCAGGCTAGCCCTGTATAAGTACAAACTGTTAGATCCTTGGCCAGAGAAGTAGTATAGTGGGAGATATCCCCATGTCCTCCACTCCATTCCCACTGCCATCACTAACCTCAGGATGCCTTGGCCAATGGGTGGCAGGTCTGGACTCAGCCACTCTTGCTCTTTTTTCTCTCCCATGGATATTTGCCTCTCACCTAGAGGTGGCTGGAAGAAGAGAGGGTGGGCTGGCAGGGCTCTGCATCTCCCACACTCCCAACCTCCCAACCAATCTTGTACCCACCAGCCCTCTTAAAAAAAAAAAACAAAAAACAAAAACAAAAACAAAAACAAACAAACAAACAAAAACCCCTAGGGACTGCTTCTGTTTATCCAAGAGCACCATCTACTGGCCACAGAGGCACTGGGCCTTCTGTGGGCCACACCCATCCTGGCCTTATGTCTGAGAAGGCCACACTGGGGGTTAGCCAAGGCAAGGTGCTGGTGGAGGCAACAGCAGAGATGTAGCATCTAATAGAATAAGAGGAAGGCTTAATATGCAAGACAGAGTTATATAACATATGGGGCAGGTGCATTAGGCATGGTGGTTCAGAA